TATACTGGCTGGGGAATTCTGGGAGTTGAAGTCCATACATCTTCAAGTTGTCAAGGTTGAGAAACACTGCTACAGATTAAATGGAAACCAGCAGTGCACTCCAGCTGCCATAGGATCCAATGCCATCTTGAGCTGCTTCAGGAGAAGTACAGCATCAAGTGATAGTTCCACTCTATCCTGCACTGGTCAGACAACCCCTGAAATACTGTACCTGGTTCTGGTCCCCACAATACAAGAAATATGCTGAGGAAATAAGAGTGATGAAGATGGTGAGGGACTTGGAGGCCAAATACTGCAGAGAATAGTTAAACAAATTGAGCATGTTTAGCCTGAAAAGAGAAAGCTGAAGGGAGATATGAGCGGTCTTCTAATATGTGAAAGGTGGTCACAGGGAAGAAGAGGTGGGTTTGTTCTCCTTAGTGTCCAAGGGTAGGGCAAGAACCAGCAGGTGGAAGCTTTACAGAGGGAGATCCAAATTTGAAATAATATAGAATTTCTTGACAGTGAGAACTATGAAGCAGTGGGAAAGCCCATCTCCTGGAGTCATGGAGGCACCATCACTGGAGGGTTTCAAGTAGATGGGACAACCATTTGTCTGGGATGGTCTGAGGATTCTTGCCCTGGGCAGGGGGGTGGACTAGAAGTTCTCGAAGCTCTGTTCCAACCCTAAGCTTCTATGGAAGCTCCCTGGCAAATCAATCCATTTCAGTCTAACCCTGATAACAGGTTTGTTGTTATGGGGATAAATTTGGAGGCTGCCTTGGATCCTGGAGGAAAGACAGGATATACATCTAATAAATAAGACAAAACAAGTAAATGAAAGCTTTTCCACATTCCAAGTTAAAAAAAAAAATACAATGTATTGTCCAGTGTCTTCTTTTCACTTATACTTGAGATGTTGAATGCAGCACTGAAAAGATTTTGTTGAGTTTGAAAGGCAGCTGTATTCACTCTGAGCAAGAGACATCTGCTAGGAATCAAAACTAATCTGCCTTCGGTTCCTGGTAAGTGGCACATCCAAGCAGACAATCAAGAAGTATGTCTGAAAGTTCACGTTGGTAAGGAATGGAGATTCCACTGGATTACAGATTGTCAGGACTGACTTCTTCACATGGCCAGTGGTTTTGAGATAACAGCCCTAGGTTCTAGTTTGATTTAGGGAGACAGTTTTCATATGTCTGTATGAAGTCCCTTTGGTGTGTTGAATTATAACAGCTAACAAGGAGGACATCAGATGGAGTAAGCTGGTCTAGGTGGTGGGTATGTCCATCAAAATCAGATGGGCATGCATTTATAAATACACTGATATCATTTATTTGCAGGGTTTCAAGCCAATAAACAGAAAGAGTTTATTAACAGCTAAATGTTCACTGTTCCCAGTTCATCAAGCTTACCTCATTCCTCAGCTTAAATCAGTTTTATTTTCATCTTCCAAACTGGGGCAGCGGCTGCATTTTTATAAACTCAACATCTTTATTTTGTGTTTTAGATATTTGTTGCTTTCTGTATTTTGGGTTGTAGATTAGACTACTCACTGCCGTAGGAACCATTATTGTATACCAAAATGCTGCACACATATAACTGGATTCTTATAAAACTTTGAACAATAATTTATGTGCCTGCAATAAATGCAGTCTTATACTTTGAACAATAACCTTTCTTCCTCCTACGTGTTATTTCATGAGCCCTTTACCAGATAGGATTTAGAACTCAGAATTGCAATCCAAACTAGCAAGCAAAAGGCATATAATATCAAGCTTTTTTAATTAGAAAGAATAGCTCTTATTCCGTTTGCTAAAATGAATCTTGGTACCTCTGGCTACTTATATGAGAATTTTATTCGGGGTGTGTGTGTGTGAGGGAAGGGTTATTCAGATCTGTTGGTTTCCTAAATAATAACATAGTCTTTTCATGTTTCTTGGTTAGCAGGATCTGGTTGTCCAGGGATCACAGAGACAAATCATGGGAAATCCCTTCCAGTAGACCCGCCTGGGAAGGAAAGTCCTCCCTTGGTTCCAACATGGAGATTTTCCAGAATCCTTCCTTGCTAAGAAACAGGCTGTGCAATTTGTTGGCAGATGACTCAATATGGAATCCGAAGCCTAGGACATTTGGGGTGTTTTCATGGATGCTCAGTAAAACCAGATATGTCAGGTTTTCATATCTCTGGTTTTCTTAATGTGGAACCATTCCTGGAATAGCAGTCTGTAGGCTTGCATGTTTCAATCTGAAAATAGCATAAGGGGCCCCTAAGGAAAACTAGATGAGCAAACCAGGTCTTGGGGATGCTCTGTAGTGCTGAGCAGAGATATTGTCTTGTGGTGTTCTCTGACAGTTCTCATTAATAAAAGTGCTTTAGAAGTTTGTTTCAGAGGACATGAGAAAGACCAGCATTAAGATATTATAAATACATCCACAGAACAGGGTTGGTGTTGCTATGCCTTTTACGGAGGTTCTTTTTGGGATTCTCTGTTTTATATGCACCTCTTTCTGCAGGGGTGGTCAAAATGTGCCAGATGTTGGGTACACTCTTGTGATCAGAGCTAGCATGGCTGACGAAAGAGATCTTGAATCAGTGAAGTTCAATGAAGGTGTCAGCACAACATGCATCTCCTGTAAAGAAGTCCAACAGCATGCTAGGGATAATAAAAAACAGTATTGAAA